GGGGGAGAAAGATTCCATGGTTCAAACAGAGAAACAAAGTTGTCGAGTGACAGCTGTTCTACGCTGAGCGTAGCCCATCCTTGGAGCACCTCGTTTCAGAGGGAGGCCTCAGGACAGTCTCCTGGAGGAGTCCAGAGCAAAACGCAGCAGAGACAGTTACACTCTTCAGGGGAAACTCTGAGCTGACAGATGCCAGCGGGAATTTCACACGCCCGAGAGCAGGGCAGAAGTACCAGGGGAGGTTATGTGGCTCACGCAGCTGAATTCCCCTGACATCTCAGCACCACCATCGGCTCGCTAGACCCCTCTGCACAAGGAGCAGGCAACCGCTGACACTTGCCTTACAGAAACTGGATGTGGGGCCGGCAGACGCCTCAGAGGAGGAGCGGGCGCTGGAGCCTGCACCCGCCCCATCAGAATGGCCTGACTTTGGCACCAGAACAAGGCTCAGCTTGAAGCATTCTGAGCCTGACAAAAGCGGAGGGGTGGAAAGGGTGGTTTAGGACCTGATCTCACCCCTGGCTCCTCAATTCTCCCCTGCCTGAAAGATCAAGCGAGAGCTCTGAAAAACGTCCTACTGCTCTGCCCTGCAAGGTTATTTATGTAGTGCTGAAAACATCCAGAGTGCTTAACAACAGCCAGGCCTGAGAGCAAGATCCCTGCTCAAAGGGATTTACAGTCTAGAGGCCGCGATGGCTCCCGTGCAGTTAGACAGACACGTGAACATGACTCACTAGCAGGCTCGCTACGTGGGCTTTCAGGAGAGGCGCTGCTGTGCTTTAGTGCGTGGGCTGGTCTCAGCGTGAACGGGGACATGACTTGCAGCTTCGAGACAGGGGAACAAAGAGGAAGGGTGGCTCAGGAGACGTGGGATCGAGTCCCAGCCCTGCTATAGACTGCCACTGGCCTTGGGCAAGTCACTTACTCTCTGTGCCTCGTTTCCCATCTGCAATGCAGGGACAATAACGTTTCCTTTCTCCCACCCTTTGTATCGTCTTGTAAGAGTGAAAGGTGTTTGGGGCAAGGACTGTCTGACTAGGAGTTTGCACTGCACCTAGCACGGTGAGGCCCCAATCTCCACTTGGTGGGGCACACGTGGTGGTAAGGGCAGAAGGGGAGAGAGGAGTGGAGGACCTCGCAGTGTAGGTGGAATTAGATGGGAAAGCAGCGTTCCCGTTTCTCCAGTCTCTGAAGTCTCACCGTTGTCTTGGATGATGCGCTTGAGGTAGTCGGCCATCAGCATCCGGAGTGCTCGTTTGTAAGGCAAACCCAGCCGGTGGGGAAAGACAACTGCAGTATCCACCACTGTGTTATGGATAAGCTGGGAGGGGTGGGAGAGAAAAACAGGGTGGTTTGTTTTCCCTCCTCGGAGCAGTCAGTGTATTAACTGAGATTAACCAGTTGTATATGAGGGCGGTAAGGTAAGACCTGGATCGCCCTCATATACAACCTTGATTGCCCTCAGATACGACCTTGATCGCCCTCAGGTACCACCTCCACAACACTCCCACCAAACCAGTTCCACAGGCGGCTCTGCCTGAGCTGAACCGAAGTGCCCTGAACAGCACCTTCTGCCAGCCCGGCCAAGGCACTAACTCCTCTCCACGGGCAAAGCTGCTTCTATCCAAGTCTCAACTCAGCCATTAAAACTCCTCCGAGCAACAGGGCCGCTCGTCCGTTTAGCCTGGTGCCAGAGACGCTCCCATGCTTCTGGAGGAGTCTTTTCACAGCTTGTTACACCGTCAGAGCAGCTCCTGGGGAGGGGTCCTTTGAAACAGAATGAGCTGTGCTTTGGGCCATACTTGGATTTAACCCATTACCCACCACACCTCTGCACAAGTAGACTCTTGCCTCTTTTAGAGACAGGTCCATTGGTTTCTTAGCTGGAGCTGGGGCTTTGGAAGGGAATCACTTATGAGAGTTTCAAATTAGCTTGAATGGTTCTGTTCCTGCTCTCTCTGCAGATGGATTTAAAGAGGGCTGGATAATCTGAGCACGTGTGTTGTTTGTAGTTAATGTAGGATGAGACAGGGTGAGCAGATCCTATGGGCAGGGCACAAGCAAATCACTGCAGAGGCCGGGAAGGAATTTCCTGCCACTCACGTACATAACAGGGGCAGAGAGTTCACTTGCCTCTAGCATCAAGCATTGGCCAGAGCTGGAGTCAGGATAATGGCTAGATCAGGAGTCAGCCACCTATCAGCAGTGGTGTGCCGAGTCTTCATTTATTCACTCTGATTTAAGGTTTCATGTGCCAGTCATACATTTTAACGTTTTTAGAAGGTCTCTTTCTATAAGTCTATAATATAGAACTAAACTATTGTTGTATGTAAAGTAAATAAGCTTCATTTAAAATTAAATTAAAATGCAGAGCCCCCCGGACTGGTGGCCAGGACCCGGGCAGCATGAGTGCCACTGAAAATCAGCTCCCGTGCCACCTTTGGCACACGTGCCATAGGTTGCCTACCCCTGGGCTAGATAGTGGGGTGAGTGCTTCAATCCAGCAGGACAGAGCCCATGTGCTTTTGAAACAGCATGTGCTTAAATTTGTTGGAGCGCTAACATTCTCTGTGCTGGCCAGAGGAGTGTTTAACAGGGGCTATGAAGAAGCCAGGGTGAGAGAGAGGTTAAGTATCATACGGACAGTATAGCCCTGAGACTGAGGTTAATTTGTACGTCTGGCCAGCGAGGGCGACTCCTGGAGGGCTCTCTTCTTTAGGTTTCTGATTCACGACACAGGATGACGTGAACGGGCCTTTGACTCTCCAGCCACCCGTCTGCCCCTTACTTTGTCTAGGCACTTGCTAATGTTGCGTGACAACTTGCAACTTCCTCGTTAATCGTTTCATAGCTGAGCTATGGAAATGCTTTAGAACAGCTGCCGTTTAATGGAAACAACCTGCCGCGCTCTTTGAAGTGTAAAACTGCCAAACATTATGGATAATCTCCTCTCTGGCACAGTCAAGGCTGGCATCAGCCCAAGCAGAATAATTACTTATGGAGATCAGGGAGACAGAGGAAAGGGGATAATACAGCTTTAAATATAAAACTGAAATGCTATTGCTATTTGAAGCTTGTTGTGGCCATTATTGGGATGGCTTCTTTACTGCCAGAGCCTTTAGAGATTAGGACTTTGCATGGCACTGCCTGTAAAGCTTTGCTATATTGCTTTTGGGTTCGTTCTCTTGGCAGTTTCTGTGATGCTAAGAGAAAATAATGACTTTAAGAGGCCAACACAGTCATCTTGTGCTGATGAGACCGTAAATGATTTTTTTTATTGTGATTACTGATACTTTGAGATCCTGGGAAGGAGGGTGGTATAGAAAGGCAAAGAGCTTACAGGCATGAACGCAGTAAACTTCCCAACACCCCCGTGAGTTAGTAACTATTACCCCTTTATCAAATAGGGCTACGTGGATAAAGGATGGTCTTGTGATTTGCGGGCTTGAACCAAGTGCCAATCTGCCAGACTTCCCCTGACCTTGGGGGAGTCACTTCATCTCTCTGTGTTTCCATTTCTGTACAGTGGGGCAATGGCCCTGCCCTGCCACACAGGGGAGTGGTGAGCATGAAAGACTGAGGAGCTCAGATCATAGAATATCAGGTTGGAAGGGACCTCAGGAGGTCATCTAGTTCAACCCCCTGCTCAAAGCAGGATCAATCCTCAACATCCCAGCCAGAGCTTTGTCAAGCCTGACCTTAAAAACCTCTAAGGAAGGAGATTCCACCACCTCCCTCAGTAACCCATTCCAGATGCTACAGTGATGAAGGCCAGAGAAGCACCTTTGGGCTTTGTCTATACTCAAAATGCTACAGCAGCACCGCTGCGCCAATACTGCCTATCCGTCGGCATAGGCAACCCACCTCCCTGAGAGGCAGCAGCTCGTTTGACAGGAGAATTCTTCCATTGACCTAGCCCTGTCTACACTGGGGGTAGGGAAGTTTAACTACACTATTCAGGGTGCGGATTTTTCACACCCCTGAGCGACATAGTTAAGCCAACTTAATTTGCTAGCACAGACCTGGCCCCAGACAGACAGTAAAGTCAGTGGCAAACCTGGGGCTAGAATCCAGGAGTTCTAGTAGCCAGTCCTCTCCCTCCCGCCCAAAACTCTTACAAAATTAAATAATTCATGTGAACGCAGTCTTGGTTTCAGGAGACAGTTTGACAGGCCAGCCCTCCTCTGGAGTGGTTCCATGACAAGCCTCCAGGGGTAAAAGAGGGGTTTCCTCTTTCCACGGCTCATCCAATCCCTGACCGCACTGCTGAGCACATCAACAAGGGAACAATCTGGGCCACTGGGGATGGTGTTTCTCCTTTCTAACGATGCCTGTCAGCTTAGAGCTCACTCAGGGGCTTAATGGCATACAACCAATCCCCTCCAGCCTCTAACCACTACACCACACTCCACAGCTGCCTCATGGATAGCTCACAGTCTCACAAAGCAACCCCATTCAGTCAGACAGGGCTAGAAGGTATCCTTTGGTACAGATCACTAGTGACTTGAACACTGCTTGTACCCCTGCTCAACCGATCTGGCAACCTCCAATGGCTCATACAAGTCTCTACTGTGATCTTCTTGCTTTCATGAAGACAAACTCTTTCTGTAATGGTGAAACGGTAAACACAAATTAAAGGAAAGGAAGGAGGGGACAGGGTTTGTTACCTTTAGTGCAAATAAATCACTTTCCAAGCTGTGTCCTATCAAAATCGTGTCTGCGCTGAACATGTTTAATAGAACAGCTTGCACGTCTCGCAGGGTGATGCTTGCGTTCTCCAGGTCCTCCTCCGTCACACCTGAAAACCTGCAGTGCGACAGCAACAGAGGGACTTCTCCTTAGTGGGGCTGAACCTTCCATGCCCTAGCAACACCCACACATTTGAGGCAATGAAAACTTCCCATTCTCAAAGTTCTGAAGAAGCTTTCAGCCAAGTGATTCAGACCATTGAGACTTGGCGCACGATATGGTGACAGAGGCACCTGCCCCCATTACTGAAACGGCTCTTGTTTAAGACTGCAGTTCTGGTGCAGAGGTCCTGGTCTTTGTGGTAATTGTGATTCACGTCTGAGACGCTTGCAGCGGCAGCTCCTTTGCCCTCAGAGCCTTGCGACTTGGCTCATGTGATCACTGGGTCACTACGGGTTTGGTGCATCCGCCTCCCCCCCCCCCAGAAGGAGATGGGCAGGCGGATGCACCAAAGTTGAGTAACATTTTTGTGACCTCATGGGCCAGGTGCAGCCCCACAGGACAGGAACAGCTGCGGCAGGGTGAGCTCACTCTTGCAGGACCCCTGTTCCTCCGCTTTCCAAGACACATGCATAGCAAGTAAGTGGCTGGGCTTGAGGGGAAGTTTTCATGCCCTCCGTATGAGAGGAAAAGCAGCCACGAATGAGCTTTGCCATTTCAAATTCTAATCATAAGCCACACGCGGCAGAGGCAGCGAACTCAGCTGCTGGGGAGGAACGGCTGGAGGGGACTTGAGAAATGCCTTGTCATCACTTCTCGAGCCAGCTGCAGATGGTGCTGACAGGCTAGGGGAGAGAAGCCATGCCGAGAGATCATTGTTGGGCTGCTGAAGTCATTTATTATTCAAAACTCTCCCCAGAAAGCCGAGTCAAGAGCCTTTTTAATGGCTCCAGCCATACTCCATCCAGGGGAGGGGTTGCTCTTACCTGGTGTTGTAGTCCACCACTTTGTTGTCCGGTTTGACAAAGGTGTCATAGACCACTTTCAGGTCCGAGTTGATCACGGTTACTCTCGTCAGCTCCAGTCCTTGCTTGGTGTAACACTGTCAACCCCAAACAAGCAAAGAGAGCTGGTCTTAGCCTGGTGTTTGTAGTCCAGGTCTTGGTATTTATGTGCCACCCCATTCATGTTAGCACTAGTGTCTCCTGAATTACGACAGTTATGCTGCTGCATGGCTGGCTGGCATACATTGGCTAACACGGCTATTTTTCAAAAGAAATTTATCATCTTAAGTATGAACAGCAGCTGACCAATTAAAAATACATCTCTCACTAACCCCCAGAATGTGCTGTGACATCATACAGCCAGATAATCACACGGTCTGCCAAAGGAAAAAAAGAAGAGTCTTATTTGATGCTAAATATGGCAGGTGAAGGAGAAGTATCTAGGAGGTGTATACGTATACCACAGCATGGCCTATAGACAGGCAGGTCTACAGTACGTGATCTCTGGAGCACAGCATCAGGGGAGAACCAGTTATTCATGCAGCAAGGTAACCTTCTGGTATAAATATTAATAAGAGTTCCACAAAGAGGATATCTACAATTTATAATCCACTTTTTAAAATAATTTGATACGCAGTGATCCTGAACAGGCTTGCTCTTAATAAACCGTATCAAAAGGATGCTTAAAAGCACTGGATTAGATCGTCCTGATCAGTTACATCCTGAGTCCTGGTTCCTCTTGCAAATGGATTAGAATGTACTGTTCCCACTGCTGATGGATAAGACTCCCACTCAGAGAGTAACTGTTGAACAACATGCAGCATCCCAAGTGCGGCTTTTATTCTTCTGGGAGACTGACAAGCGGAAACAGATCTCTACAGGAGAGCGCTGCAGAGAGCTGCCCTGTTCCACCCCAAGCTTCCCACCGGCCCTATTTCATGTGTATGTTCCCCTTCCAGTTAGGATTTCTGCTCCCGGATACCCACCATTTCACAGTCTAAGGCGTAGATCCCTGGATAGCCATTGGTAGTAGGCAGCTTCTCAAAAGTTTTCACAAAACCCTCCAGGTTCTCCTTCCGGCCATCTTGGACATGTTGCTTTAAAAAGAAATCCACACACACTTGTAAGACAAAAGCAAGTTCCTGAAATCCCATCACAAGCCAGACACAAAACTCAGAACTAACTTTCCAACAGATCAAATCTCAGATTCAAATTTCTTTACATTTCCAACAATTACAAAC